TACAGAGCACCATAACTACTACGACCAATATCATTCCCTGGTGTAAGTGGATCTTCTATGCATAATAAAGAAGGTCGATGGCCATCTATCATATCTCTTTGAACCTAAAATTAATATGAGACATGAGATTTACTTGTAATGTACTGAACAAATACATACATGTATATAATAAATAAAAACATTCAATACTTCATATAAAAGATATTCTTTAAAAATAAATATAATACTTGTTTTATATACCATTTTATCAGATGTACAATTTTTATATAAGGAACTATCATATAGATATATTTTACCTCTTCTTTCGATATGTAAGTACCACCATCTTTTACACGAATTCCTGTTTTAACATAATTAAATTTCCTACCATATAATTCCAAAAATTCTATTAACAGCACCCCAAGATTAGCACTTGAGCAATAAGCATTTTGTCTGGGATGTAACTGAAATAAAATTTCATCCACATGGTAGGAAAAGATTAATTGTCTATTTCAAAAAACATAAATTTGTTTTTATAACCCAAAATACTAATATATGAGTCTTATAAAGCATAACTTTTTAATATTATTACATTATTTATTTTGCATATGATTAAAAAATTTGTGCAGCAATTAATTCTTATTTCTACATTTGAAACAAAAATATTAACATTTTACCTGTAAAAAACTGATAGTCATAAGTATTAAACTATACGAGGAAATTCCACCAGTAAACACTTCATTCAGGTCTCTTTGTAACAAGAATTGTTTTAATACCATTACTAATTTTTCCAGTACTGGAAACCTCTTTTTAAAAGAATTTATCAATTCTGCAGATTTAACGCCATTATTCATATTAAAACTGATATCTACTTTAATCTCAGTTTCTTTATCAGTCAACTTTACAATTGGGACACTAGCTTTATCCAAAACTTTAATAGAAGATGGTTCAGCTATATTTTGATCCAATAAAGCACGTTCCAAAGTACGTAATGGAAGATTTGTCCACATTCCTATTACTACTAAATCTATATCACTAAAAATAAGTATAAATCTTATCCATTTAAAGAATCTTAGTATGATAATTAATAATGTATATGTTTGTATTACACATAATGTCATCAATAATATATACAAAGTATTAATCAATGTATAAGACTTATTAAAGATAAGTTTATATTATTTAGTATTATTTGACACAATTATGGATTTATATATATACATTTATATATATGTATATAAAACACTAATGTATATATATATAAAATACTAATTTATTTAAAAGATATCTATATATTTTACATGTGAATACATTACTAAATACATTCCATTTTAAATATGTACAATGATACGTACCTTGTAGGTAAATATAAACCAGTGCGAAAGCTGCCAAATACTTCAACCTTAGAATCTTGCCAGAGATCATATATTACTTGTTCTATCCTTTTGACAACACGCATTCGTAAACTATGTTCTTCATTAGAGGGACACATATAAGCAAAAAAATCTTCAATTTCTTCATGTAATCTAAATATAAAAATATAATCTGTTATGATAATTTTTTATTTATATTAACATTCAAAAATGTTGCAACATGTATTTTGATAAATTTTTTATTGTAAGAGATTAATTTTAAGAGATAAAAAGAAATGTTATAGTAATTATTTATTTTTTATTTAATATTAAAAATTAAGAAACATAAAGAAATATACGTACTTTTATTACAGCTTTTCTGTTATATAAATTTTCATTTACAAGTGCATATTTTATACAGCATAGAATATGAAAAAATATGTTTAATATATAATATAAATTTTTTAATTCGAAAATCACCAAAATATGTAACAGATAATAAACTTATTTTTTCATATCTTAGAACAAATAAATAGTACATTTATATATTCTTATATTTAATAATTATACAAATACATTTTGAATTAAAATGGAAAATTTTTAATACTTAGTATTTCATACAGTATAGTATTTAATACAAAGTATTAAAATAAATAAGTTTTTCTACATATCTTCCTATATTTTAAAAATATTCTTAATACAATTTTAAATTTTGTACAGAGATGTATAAATAACAGAATATAAAATGAAGTAAGATATAATAATACAAAAAATTAAACAATAAATATTTAAAAAATTTCATTTAATACTTAAATATATAAAATAACAGTTTATATGTTATTTGCTGAATAAATAACAGGCGTTGTGTTTATAAAAAAAAATATTATTACAAAAAATAGAATACACCTTTTTATAGATAAACATGTTTTACTGTACATTAAATAGAGAAATTAAAAAATTCAATAGACAAAATTTTTAATACTATTTTATTATTTATTTAAATTTATTTCTAATATTTTCTAATTTGGAAAAAATTTGATTGTTGTGACTACAAACATAAATAATCGTATTATATAAACATCCACGTGTGTTTACAAAATCATTATAGATTTAGTAAAAACTAAAAATGCATTGGAAAATTTTGTATTTTTAAAAACATGGAATAATTGAAAAATGTTATTCAATCAAATAAGTTGTATTCATTATTTAAAAAAAAGTAGATTTGCATTTGTAGCATATCTAATTATAAAGGGACCTTGCTATACCCTATTTGTAAACGAGCGTGAACATACATAACCTTAATCACACCCATATGGACAAACTACAAAAAGGCAAATAATTTAACTTTCATAAGACAAACAGTATATATATAGATGAAAACTCGATAACAAAACTTACCCAATAACACCCTTCGAATAATGTTTATTAGGTACCCGCCATGGACAACCGCCGTATTCGCCAACTAAGGCATCGTAATTGTAGTTCATGCCGTAGGTACTAGCACGATTATCACCTTTCCTACGAGATGGATTATAATAGTTGCTGCAAGTATTATGTTGCATGCGGTCCCCTGTACGAGAATTAAGAGAATCCAAGGACATGAAGTCTTGTTGAAGCTTCATTCCCATTACATTCGAAGACGAGTCGTTTTTCAACGTTAAAATATCCAGGCCTTTCTCAGCTTCCCAAATGTGTAACCACAAATCCTTAGCAGGGCCGAACTGCTCCGGTTGATACCAACCGATAGTCGGATCCATTAAATAGTTCTCGATTCTGTATCTTACGATTAATGGTCCTTGCACACTACACTACAATTCCAATCTTAATTCAACTTTAATTGAAAAATTGTCTGATTTATTGTAACCTGCGAACACTATGAAATTCATACATACGACCAATGAACAACAGTATTTTAGAAGGAACTTCGTACACCATTGTGCGAACATAGAATAATAAAGACAACTCAAGCAATTTGTTCCTGCAGATGGCATTATCACCTACACATCTGAAAATATATTTCTGGAAATATGGTTAAAAATTATTTATCGTACAATTGTACAGTACAATTGTATATGTTATTCAAACAATTTCAAACATTAGTATTCGAAGAAGAGAACAAATAATGTTTCACAGAAAGAAAAGAAGATTATTTTATGTCAATTAGACGTATAACATATTAATTTACATATTGGAAATATTTAAAAATTTGTAGAATTGATAACAGTAACCAATACTAAAACGACTTTTGGCTTTTTACTTGTTTCAAATTTGGAAAATGTATTTATAGGTGGAAATTACTAGATTCTAAAATTTAAAAAAATATTGTTCATCTAAAAATATTGTAATTTGAAAATGCTAGATTATTCCAGTATTTTAAATTATAAGGAAAGATATCATATCCAACATGTAAAATATCAAGGAAGATAATACGTAGTTAGTAACCATAGAACTAGAAATCTTTTAATAAACTAATTTAATTACATATTCTGCAATCTGTATGAATTTCATATATGTATTATGTAAAAGAACATATTAAAACTAGTCCAAAATATGATCCAGCATATGTCATATATATTGTATGTACAGTAGTTTAATTAAAATAAATATATTCCCAACAGATATTATCTATTTTCACAAAATTAAATATTTTAGTTATAATTGAATTAAAAAGCACTGTATATCTGGCATTGAAACCTCAAAAACTAAATAATTTAAGCATTATATTATATATTGTATATAACAATATTTTTGTAGATATATTTTTTATATTTATAATATGATATTAGATTATTACATTTTTATTTAGAACGAAAATTATTTAATAATAATGATTAATAATAAAACAGGTGTTTAGTATAAGAAAACATGCGAAAAAGATATAAATATATCAATTTAAAATAAAAATAATTTTAATATAAAAAATGAAAACGGAGTGATATAAAAAACGAGAATACTATCATTTATCAAAAGACAATAACGTAGAAGCTGTATCCTGCTGCATCCCTACAAGATATCTAATGGAAGTAAATGCAGGTAAAATATTAATTAAACGCGAATCCTGTACGAGACCGACTCCACCCATCTTTAGTTCGCCGCGACATTTGAACGGAAGTAATTCGTATTTTAATTTAGATATCTTTACCTTTATTGAATCATTTTCATTAAATTTATTAATATTATTCGACGTTTCTCTTCTTAACTCGGTATAACTTTTTTCTTTTACTTAGCTTAAAAAACTTCACAAGTTAACAATATCCACCCGTTATTATGAACAGATTTTTTACATTATTACATTCTTAAGGTATGTTTTTATGCTTATATAATTTCATGTATTATAATATCTAAAACGATATTTAATATAAAAGTTTTCACTTTATTATTATCGCGAATGTACTTTTACTTTGATAAACCCTTTGATATTGACACATTTAAATTTGTAATTTGAATATATTGACAAATCATAACATTTGAATATAGTAAAAATGAAAGTGGGAATAAAAATAAAATTTATAAGAATACTAATATTTCTTAATTATTGTCCGCTGTTTATTCATAATCTAGTAATCCTATTAGTGAACTGTGTTACGCGTTGAAAATGAATAGTATCTATATAAAAATATGTTTTTTAAAACTAAAACACTTAAAAACCGATATTTCAAATGCAATGTATAATTTGAATTCTAACTCACGGTCATGATCGTGATCTAAATTAAACGCCTTTCTTGCGTTCTGAATGTTGTGATGAGTTGCTTACTTCATGCGAGTAACAACGTGATATTTTAATTAAAATAGAAATAAAAGAAAAATGTGAGGGACATTGTCAGTGGCAATGAAGAAAGATGTATTATTAAAGTTTTTAAAATAATTTAGTCTTCCAAATAATTTATAAATGTATTACTCTAATTATTTATTACATAATTTTACTAATATAACTATATGCTGTGATTAATCATTTATTGTATCTATTGCAGGTGAGTTATAACATTTAATAACATAACATCAATTTATGATAGGTTATTAAAATGACATTACAAATAATATTTAAAAAATGAATTATTCCTTAATGTCCAAACTCACGTTTTTAAATCTGTTATCAAAGGACATCTACCATTCGTTTTAATTTTTATTTAGTTATTAATTAAAATGTTTATTAGATATTATACATTTTAATGCTTAATGACAAACTGCACCTTAGTAATATAATGTTTTTGTAATTGTTCCATCTATATAGTCATGTACCTATTTTATTTAAATTATGAAATCTTTGTCTAGTATTTATGTCTTTGAAAAGTACTTGAGTTTTATTTTTTCTTTCAGACATGTCAGAACATGTTGAACTGCATCATTTACTTGATGGTGATATTGAAAGTAACACAACAACACAACAAAAACGATTTTCAATTCTAATGTGTAAATCATGCCCTTATCTTGGTTTAATATTGGCAACATTATCATCATTATTTTTTTCATTATGCAGTGTCATTGTGAAGGGCTTAGTGGAAGTAAATCCAATGGAATTGGCAGCATTTCGGTTCGTGGGTGTATTATTACCAGCAATACCAATTGTAATATATAAGGGTGAACATCCATTTCCAAAGGGACGTAGATTAATGCTAATACTAAGAAGTTTTGTGGGGACCACTGGCCTCATGTTAAGTTTCTATGCATTTCGGCATATGCCATTAGCTGATGCATCTGTTGTAGTATTTTCTGTTCCTGTATTTGTAGCCATATTTGCCAGAATATTCCTAAAAGAGCCTTGTGGATTATTTAATGTTATAACAGTCTGTTTAACACTGATTGGTGTAATCTTAATAACACGTCCACCACTAATTTTTGGACATACCATCGAGTCACTTTCAGATGGCCATATAAAAACACAACATGCAGATTTATGGGGAGCTGTAGCAGCTTTTTCAGCAACTCTCTTTGGTGCAAATGCATATGTTTTGCTACGAGCTTTAAAAGGCCTCCATTTCTCAGTAATTATGACAAATTTTGGATCATTTGCCTTGATTCAGACAATAGTTATATCTTGGGCTATAGGTGCATTGTGCTTACCTCGGTGTGGGACTGACAGACTTTTAGTTGTTGCACTTGCTCTCTTCAGTTTTGGGGGTCAAATACTGTTAACATTAGCTTTACAAATGGAACAAGCAGGACCAGTTGCAATAGCAAGATCAGCAGACATAGTTTTTGCCTTTTTCTGGCAAGTTTTATTTTTCAATGAAATACCAAATCCTTATTCAGTAGGAGGAGCAATTGTAGTTACAAGTTCAGTTTTATTAACAGGACTAAGAAAATGGGCGCTTTCATTGCCAGAAACATCTAATGTTAAAAAATCCTTAGGTATTTTGGTGATGTGAATTATGAACTATAAATGAAAGAAATATGATTTCTTATTGCATTTTTTGTTTTCGTAATATTAATTTTAATAGAAAGAGATTGTTTATAAGTAGAAATAATTTTGGCTTGCATGAATGAATTTTTAAAAATAAAGTGAGATTTATATATAATATGTATATAAACTTTTTAAATTTTACAAAATTAAATTGCTTCAAATTTAAAAGGATATCCTATATTATAGCTATATTACTATGTTTCACAGTGAGATCGTACTGTATTATTAATATTGTTTTGTTACAAAATGTTATATTTTCCTAATAAATTAATGATTGTCATTACAAATTCTAGTCTAAAACTCAGTATTATGAAAGGAACTCTTCAGACATATTTTAATGTACATTTGTTACGTGTAAGTCTTCATTTCATGTGATATACTATAATGATGTTTGTATTCTACAGTATGCACAAGATAACAAAGCACTCTCTTATATTGTACTATACTTTTAAAATAATCAATTTTTATGCAAATATAAATATTATAGTTGAATGAAAATTAGGTATTGCACAAATGTTAAGAAATATAAGTTTATTAAAACAAAATATATGTTATTTAACAATACCAATATGGATTAATAAAATAATGAATGTTATTTAATACAAAAATTTCAATCTCTACAAAATTATAAATTACATTGTTTATGACTTTACAATGTAATTTATATTTTTACATTGCATTATTTTATGTGCATGTAAAATATAAGAAAGTTTAAACATACATATTTGAATAGTAATATCCAGAAATAGATATTTTATTATTTCATGTACATTGTTTTTGGTCATAGACTAGAGTATATTATCTTAATATTATTTCAAAAAAGTTTTGTAAGGAACGTTTATTCAACAACGAATAAATAGTGAAATATTTAAATAAATTCTAATTTATAGTACATAAATACAAAGTTATGTAAACTTGTACTTCTAAAATATTGTTGTGTATGATACAAATTATGATACAATAAAGTTTGTATTAGAATGTTTACATTAATTTATTTTACTACTAGAAATATTTTTGAAAACATATAATTTCAGTTTTTAAATTAAAAAAAAATTAAAAATCTTATATATAGCAAAGCATATAAATCATAAAAAAGATTAATTTGTTCTTAAAAAAGTGATACAATTAAAACATTCTGTTTTACGTGTGAGGTTATTTATGATATTTAACGTAAATTGAGTTAATACTGAGCTTATTCAGTGTAATATATTAGTTATAATATATACATTGCAAATTAGAATATGTTTTTGCTACTATACACAATATAGTTGAACAAAATTATAATATTTTATATATAAAGAAATATCGATTATAGAAGAATAGTAGTGTATATTAAAAATTGTATATGACGCGAAACTTATGTTAGTGTAAGATTTTTTAAATTAATAATTGTCATACAGATATCGTGCTTATTATAATGCATAAGCTAGCATTAGCTTCTTGTAGATGTCTATATACGTATATGTATAATATTGGATAATTTCAAGGTGTGTGTCAATTAAATACACCTGACGTCTATTATTCATATATTCATATATAAAGCGTTGGCTACCTGATTTTACCTACATCAGGATCACTACCGTGTTCTACATCGACGCCATTCGTCGTAAATCATAGAATATTAGATAAGTTTAAATATTTAAAACAAGAAATGTATGAATGTAATAATATACACTATAATAGAAAATAGTAATGTGATAAATATGTAAATACTGACATGTCAGAAGAGATAATGAACTTAATATTCGTCGTATTTCCTAATAACAATATAATATGATAGAATAGAATATAATGGATATAATAATAAGCAATAAAGTTTAGAAAGCGTGGTATTGATGAGGTCAGTAAAAATTATTCTTTGATCCGTGATATATATGAACAATCAGCAAGAACTAATGGAAAATCGTAGCGCTGAAGAGAAATTCCGGATCGTCGTGATTTCTAAAGAGATCAACGATCCACGACTGTTACACTAATTAATTAATTCCTCATTCGACGATCCCATGCTATGTCTATTAGCGTAAGAAAGAACAAGATATCGTTTGTGTCCGTATGTATTCATTGATGTATTTACGAAGAATACTTCTTCGAGTAGGGATTTCACGCAAAGCAGTAAGAAGAATAATACATGGAAAAGGATTACGTCCTTACAAGGTTCACCGTGTGTAAGGACTTCGTAGGATGGATTATGCCGCTTGACGAAAATTTTGTCACTGAATGCTAAGAAAATTAGAATGTAATCAACGCTGTCTTGAAGATATCTTGTTCACTGGAAGGACTGCTGTTACTATTGCTACTGAGCAATATTCGGAATCATCAGAATGCTACAATTTTCGCGTATATTCACATTATGATATAGAAATTTAATCAGGACCGCTTGGACAGGCCCGGTTTATTCTATACCTGACATTAACATGTAAATAAAATCAGTTTGAAAATTAAAGTGATTGATATTATACGTTCATGAGTAAATGTCATTATTTTGTGTTATATTTGACTTTAAAATATGTCTTTCCTTGTCTTCTATATATTAAATTTGACAAATTTGTAGAGAGTATCAAGCTGGGTCAACTAATGTTATAACAAATATTCTCGATATCATCTTAATATTTAAAAAAATACAAGGTATTAAAAAATCAAACTACTTATTTCACCTGAACAAACCCTGGAATAAATTTTATTTTGAACATTTTTTGATGAAGTCAGTAGGTAATGAGGTGTTCCAGATAGTCATTCTTACTAATTCACCCTATATGTACATAACGTGTATATAGCATATACGTGAATGTTTATATATACATTCTTTATACTGTTTGTTACACAATTATCTAAGTTATCCTTCGGGTACATATCCGCTTTCTTCTACAAAAAGTATTTGCTTTTATGAACAAAATTTACTACAAGATATACTGTACATATAATTTCTTTTTCCATTTGCACTGTTAGCAATTGATATGAAACCAAATTAGCAAAATTAAAAATGATATTATTATAAAAATAGTTTCTCTAATTTGGGAACGAAAATATTTTAATGATTAATTTATTTCTACGAGTTAATTTATAATTGTATTACGGTAAGATTTTTCTGCTTTTATCCATGCATGCATGTATTTTTGTCAACCTAATTTAGAATCGATGATCAATTTAGAATCGTACAACATAATTAGTGAAACACTGTATATATTTCTTGCACTACAAAAGTTCTATGTAAATGGAATGTGATACAATTCATCACAATCCAATTTTTATATTCATGGATAAAACAATGAAGGCACAAATATATAAAGAAAATATTTTACATGTATATAAATATGTTTCATAATTTTATATGTTCTTACATCTAAAATTTGTAAAGTATATTTTAATATCTAGTGTTCAATTAGATAACAAATAACATTTATAAAACTGGAATTAAAATTCGAAAACTTCAACACTCTAAACTTACAGTAAAATGAACAGAATACATATACGAGTAAATATGTTTCCGAATGCATCAGAGTAGGAATAATCCCAGTTTTGCATTTTTATAAAAAACATTGGAATGATCTAAGTATAAGGCCACTCAGTTTTTTTTGAGTCCGTACATTCAATTTAAAATAAGACGCTTATATTAGTATTTCATCCTCTTATGTTATTCATATATACACTTTCTTTTATCATTGAATAAAGGCTTCTACTTAGAATGATAAATTAAGTTATTAAATCTAATTATTTGCATTATATACATATTAAAATGATTAAAATCAATTGAAAAATTGATATTTTATGAAATGACGAACAATGTGTTAATTAACAACAGATTTCTTTGCTAATTATCCAATTGAATGATAAAATATAATTCTGAAAAGATAGTTTTATACATTACAGTTTTAAATCTCTATTCACGGTTTATGCCATTAAGTAGAAATTTAAGTAAATTAAAAGTAAAACTTAAGTACACTTCATGCGTTTCCTATATTAAGAACTATAAATATTATTTTAATACTTCAAAAATATTGCTGTTTTTCAATAATGCTCTTATATATCATACTATCATATCATCATATAATATACTCCATACATGTCTTTTCAACAGATTGATAAAAAATATATGTATACACATTGTATTCAAGTAAATACTAAAGAAAATTTTCTTATATAATACTTTTTGTTTCTATTGCAACTAAAAGTATCATGCGAAAAATTTTTTGTTATTATATTCCGATTATAATTATATATTATGCTTTTTCATTAATTATAATTTTTTGTTTTACATGGATCAATTTGTCACTTTAATACCTTCTGTATATAATATTTGTATATAGCTACAAAAAGTATTAAAGTAAGAAATGCATATTATTAAATAAGTACAAAATTAAACAATTTAATTTTGATTCATAAAGGGAGAGATATGTTCTTTGCTTATGTTTCACTTTTGTATTAATACTCTCTTTTATATATGAAAAATATTTTTAATTTTAATGATTTTAGTTATAGAACTGAATTTTCGAAACAATATTGATCTAGTAAGAATAAGTGATAATATTACAGAATGATTTTAATGGAAAATGTATGTATCATATTAAAAGGCACAATCTTCTATGAAAATGTTCATTTCATGTGAATCTAATATTCATTTTGGTGCCTAATTCAACTAAATTATCATTAAATTATGTAAACAGTAGCTACCATGATTTCATAATGCTTCATTTACTTTAGCACATCATTTTCTTATTGTCATGTTATATTTTATGCTTATTTATAAATACTTTTTTGGATGAACGAATATTTGAACCAATATTCAATTGAGCATGGCATAATATAAATAGAATTATGTAGTGCATTTATTTATAAATGTAAAACACCTTGATCGTGATTATAGTGATTTTGATGATGATGGTGATGATGGTGATAATGATGATGTTGTGAAGTTGAAGTTGTTGCATCATCCTGTAATGTTACGCCAGTTAAGTCTACAATTTCATCTGCATCTTCATCACTACCAGTTGCAGCACTTTGTGTCGACTGATGACTTCCAGAAGACAATTGACTATTACGTGAAAATGATCCACGTCTTGGTGCAGCTAATGCTGCTCGCTGATTTGCTGGCTTTACTGTGATTATGAGATTCGAAGAATTGGCGATCATCATATCTGTGACCTGTTTAAAATATGAAAAAATATGAGAAAATAGAAGTAGGAAAGAAGGTATAAGAATTACATGGAAATAAAAATATATAAATAATATATAACAATTTTACATACTTGATCTAAAGTTTTTCCAGCAACTTCTATACCATTCACTTCAAGCACTTCATCATTTACTGCTAAAAGACCTGTACTTTCAGCCAAGCCACCTGGTACTAATCTACTAATAAATACACCTGGTACTTTTTCAATCCCACCTCCTGCAGATGGCGGCAATATTCGAAAACTTTCTCCATCTTTAATATAAAATCCTAATGGTTTGTCAGAACCGTGTTTCAATAATCGTACACGACGACAAGTTTCTGGTAATATGTCTACATCAATTATTGCTGATACCTGTTATTGTTCATAAAATTTGTACTTAACATATATCTTGAATGATACACGAAATAATTTGTATTCATATAATTAAGACATACTTGTCTAAAATCGTGAGGATTAGATATAGCTAATGACTTTGGTTTTCCAGGTGTGCCACCAAGAATACTCGATATTAAATTTTTTGGTTTTATTGTCCCATATCCATTTATGTCTTCTAATCCATCTCCTATTACATAAAATAGTTTTTTGTTCTATCAATCTATTTACTATATACTTTGGAATAAATATTATTGCACTTAAATCTTATATTGAATTTATCTTTGATAATTATTTGTCATAAAAATTACTTGACCCTTTCTTTGAATAAAAATTCTAAGTAGAGGTTTTGCAGCCAGTAATGCCCTTGCCAAATTGTTGTCATTGTTAATGGGTAATAAATCACCATCGGTAGGATCTGTGTACCATATGAGGAAAGTTAAGTCAGGACCAATATCATGTCGCTCAGCCAATAACTTTTTAAAATCTTCATAATTAATTGCTTCATTACGGTTGACTGAAAATCTTATGATATCTGCATCAAACTAAAAAAAATTTTAATTTTCTGTGTAGAAAAGTGTTCAATAGCATAATAAAAAAGAAAGGACACTTGAATGTTACTACATGATACTTTTTTTCTGTTTAATAATAGTATAGTTTAAAGGATGGGACTCTAAATTAAGAGGTTACTTACTTTACTTTTTACTGCGACGACACTGCTGTCAACTTGATGATGAAGTTTGCTTTTTGACATGATAATTAATTTCAAATAAATTAGAATGTTCGAAGCAAATCCACAACTCACGAATGCGATGACGTGACGTCAAAAGCACCTGTTTGGTAGAACCTGGTAGAACGCAACTTGGCTACAACCGACTCCAGGTACAATCCGTGCTAACCATAAATCTGGCAACAGTGAATGAGTTCTGTCCTAATGTAAACATAACCTAATCAGTATGGTTTCCCGCGATTTTATGAAACGTTTATTTGTATTATAGTAAGTGATAATATTAATGAAATGAATGAAACAGTACTATTCGTCATATAGATAGCAACAATAAAAATAGGGATAATACTGTTAAAATAATAATACAGTGAATACAATGTTGACAAAACATATTTAAAATTCAGTTATGTACTTTCAAAGAAAAGTTATTTAATATGAAAAAAATAAATGTTGGGAAAACTTCTCCAACGAGATTCAGAGATAAAAAAAATCTTACCAGCATATTAACGTCTTATCGACCACGTAACCATTTTTATTAAATGTAATCATATTTCAGAAAATAAATCGAGATAGTAAGTTTAATGAAAAAGCAAAAAGTTCCTGAAATGTCCTCTATTTTAATGTATCTGTTCACTATGCATATGATTTTATGTAAAGATAAATTAATATTTGGCAAAAAGAAATTGCCAACGTTTAAACAAATAACTCTCTTTTCTAGCTCTTTATATAATTGATTTAAAGAAAAAATTCTTTCTATGTATATCCTCTATCCCCTAAGATATTTAAAAAAAGTATAGCTTCTACCCTCAATTTTCAAATCTCTTCAATATTTTTTCAAAACTATCTTCTATACAAATATTAAAATCGCGGTGTGCGGGTTTGAAATTCCTCCTTGTTAATATTATTATATATGTAACTAATCTTATTTCTTTTATATGTAATTTTACGAATTTATATGTTTCCTTGCTTATTTTTAAACATTTTGTACAGAAGCAATTTAAACTTGCTTTACACAATGTAGATGTAAATATTTCAAATACAAGCATCGCATATCAAACTTTTCCAAAAACCAAAACAGATATCCACAAAAAATATGATTTTTATATATTACTTCTACTTCACTATAAATATATTTATATATAATTATTAAAATGATTGTACATACTTAAATAATTTTTTATAACAAGTTAATCACGGTATAACAATACAAAACTGAGATATCCAGAATCGGATCCCTGATGTTTCCAAGTACGGCGTTGCCATGTTGTTTAACTCTACGTATTTACCACGAATTATACCTGAATCCGAGTCGCCTGTATGTTGAATATATTACATATATATCAGAATCATGATATGTACTACGTACATACATATGACTGTTACTAGATCACTGCAATTTAATACTCAATTCATAAATCCACCGAATAAAAAAATCTTATATACTTTAAATAATAAGATTGTTTTAAATATTGATACTTTATTACTTATGTTTTCTATTTATGAATGGCGAAAATCACATTGTTTAAATATGTATTTAACATATTAATTAAACATATGTATAAACTGTAGATTAATATGCAATAGTATGTGTTAAGTTATATTCAAAGAAAGAGATTTTTATAAATAAAAAGATACCTGACGATTGATATATAACAATATTTGAAAATGCTTAAAGAAGAGGCAATATTTTAAGTAAAATACAGAAACCAAAACTGAATATTGCAATAAAGTTGTGTAAATATTGCAATGAATTTGCACTGTAGAAGTATTACAAAATAATATTACAAAGTAAGTATGTTAATGACTGTATTTAATGATTGTAATTAATGACTGTTAATCCGTCATCATATATTACTTTCTAACGGTACCTATATCAATTTACTCGTTACCAATTGATTATTTCAATTTTATTTGTTTATTCATTTTTTATTAATAATGCATTATTTTATTTATTCATATTAATCTTTTCAAATTGTTTTGTCATTAAAGGTTAGTAAATATATGTACATACATTCATGTTATGTTTACTTCTATAAATATCATTTGCAAATTATGACTTTTATCCTTTTTATACCTTTTATAAATTTATTGTATCTTGTAGAATTTATAATATGTAGAATATTTTACGCTCTAATACTATTTCAGTACATGTTCAAAATTTATTAATTTTCAATATTTCTATATTATTCACATGTAGAGTGAAAACATGTATATTTTATAATATTATTTTTTTCCAAGGTATATTATTAAAGCAGATTTGTGGAAAGCAATGTCTTTATTAATTGATGCAAAACCATCTGTCTTAAGCAGTAATGTAAGTGAAGATGTATTAAACAAAGACATTTTATGGAAAATAGAAAATGACCTTAGCATCGATGAGAAAATATCTATTTTATTTTTGATGATAACTGATTATCAACATAGCTTCAGAGAAATTTGTGATTTATTACAAAACTATAAAAATCACAAAGTTTATATACTTACAGAATTTATAAATAAACATCCTGAAAATTGGAAAAGTAAATTATTGGAATCTATATGTATTATACAAAATAGGCAAATTATACGAAAGTTGGGAATATCATTTGAAGATTTGGATTTATTGTATCTGCCAAAAAATGGATCATGTTCTAGATACTTAAATTTAATTGCAAAAAGTCTGTATTTATTATGTGAAGCTCTTTCTGAAGATAAAATCAAATTATTAATGCAATATGTTAGAACTGATTTAACTGTATATGAAGAATATTTAAAAGATGTAGATTTTCTTGAATTACATATGTTATATTGGATGCAAGTAAATTATATTTCAATATATCCAGGTTTGTTTTTATCCATAAAAACATAATATTCTTTGTAATTTCATATAATTTCCTTGTTCACATAATATTTAATTATTTTAGATGGTAAGGCTAAACTTAAGAATTTGCTTAAACATTTAAAGATTTTCAAAGATTTAGAGCATATTTATGAAGATCTGGAAAAATATGAAAATCATCAAAATGTGTTAGATACACAGCGTACAAATTCTACTAATATATCTCAGATACAAACATTTTCCATGAGAGAAGAAGAATCTGTGTTGTCAGATGTGGAAGGAGAAGATATAAGAAAATTAAACAATGGCCTTTGTATTATTATAAGCCAAATGCGTTTTTCAGGTCAACAGGTATTGTATTAATAAACAATCATTTTTATCCCAATATAAATAAAATTATATAGGGTGTACCGAGAGAGTCTTACAACTACTATAGCATTATTCTATAGCTCTGAATTGGTAGAGATTTGTTAAAAGGTCAATTTTGCAGCAACTTTTTGTAACAAATCTTCACTGATCCAGAGGTAGAGTCACACTGTGGTGGTTGTGACATTGTGCATATGTATAACTTTTGTTTCAGTTTGAAACCAGATTTGGAACTGTAGCTGATCGTATGAAACTATCAGAAACATTCCAAAGATTTGGTTTTACCATTGAGGTGTTTAATGATTTAACCAAAGATGAAATACTGACAACATTAGAAAATATTCCAAAAGACTTTGGTACTGATTATGATTGCATTTTTGTATGCATTTTAAGTCATGGTTGTAAAGGTAAAATTTAGTAAATTTTGCATCATAAGCATTATGTTGTATGAGTTATTAATCGTTAATGGTCATTAATTCTAGGTGGTATTATTAGTGCAGATGAAAAAGAAGTTAGCATTGAAGCAATTGAACATAAATTTTGTTGTATAAAATTAAAGGATGTTATTAAAGTAGTTATTATACAAGCTTGTCAGGGAAAGGTGACAGGTAACAAAAATTGTAATTTTATGCTATCAGGTTAAAACTTGAGATTATAAAATCACAATAATTTTTAATTGCAGGACAAATAAATGATGATGAAATAAGTCATTTAGTTACAGATGGTCCTTTAAATTGTGAAGTTTCAAGTATTTTACCATACAAAAATTTCTGTATATTTATGTCAACTATGCAAGGTTTCATATCTGTTCGTCATAAAGAAGAAGGTAATATATAATTATCTCTATGTTATAGGTTAGAACTTGATATATTTATTAGGTGTATTATTCACACATCAGAAATTCATATTTTACAGGATCTTGGTTCATACAAGAATTTTGTAATATTTTACAAAATGGAGGAAATAAAATTACATTCCTGAAGGCTATTAGAAAAACAATTCAGTCGGTAATGAAGAAGAAAGGAAAATTAAATGGAACAAATTCCATTGCTCAATTACCTGAATTGAAAACATGCAGATTACTTATGGATTTTCAGTTACCAGATTACCGAGCAGATATATAAAAAAGGAAAGACAATATTATTGCCTTCAATGTACAAAACCAATAAAATAGAATAATAAAATAATATATTATATATATTTTATAAAAAAAAAGAAAAAATGACGTTTACTTAATAACCTAGTATCTTGCATAACCTAAAAAATTGTCGATATTTAGTTTGACTTGTTTCTTGTGTTTCTTTTTACACATGCATCGGTTAAAACCCGAATAATAAAAAAATAAATAATTTCAAAAATAGACATGAAACTAAAACCAGCAAAGACTCCTAAGAGACCACCAAATGTTGCTAAAACAAATATTAAATTTATATTATCATTAGTATTATTATTATTATATTTTTATTTAAATTCACTTATTATTTTAATAAATAATTGATATTACCGAACAGATGACGCCAACTATAATGCATATCCCGTCGGAATTGAATAGACACTAGATCTCCAAAAAATATATGAATTATACTTTGATTTTTCCAGGTTTTACCTTCGCTACAACGAAAAATATGTGTTTGTAATTTATCTCATTCGTAATTATAAACATATAAATATTTTTGATTATTTCTTAATATTTAATAATAAAAGATAATATTATAATATATAATATTAATAATAAAAGATAGCTTGATAAACTATGGAGTCTGTTATTTTTGACTAAAATTAGAAAAATATATACATAATGCTAATTTTTATATATTTTTGCAGAAAATTTTTTATTATCCAATACTACTCTCAATTTATATGTACTAGTATTAAAAGCTTTCAATCAATTTCAATCAATATCTTATGTAATGTATATGTTTCACATGTATATGTTTCAAGTATTTTGTAATAAATATACGAATATTTTTTGCTAAGAAATTCTTAAAATTACCTGGAATAAGTAGTGTAAGTCAGACCATCATAATAAACGCGTTTATCAAGATTTCCTGCTGAATTCTCCATGATATAACGATAAAAATTACAATCAGGTTTACAATTACAAGGTCTTTCTTTAGTATCCAATTCTACAAGCTGTAAAGTTTTGGGCGACATATCTGTTCCTGGCCAAGAGGTATCATACCAAACTAAAAATTCATTTCTATATATTCACTTGTTATAAGAATATTTTACACAGAGTATTATTATGCCATACTTTTTCCATATTCCTAGTTTCATAAATAAATCGCCAATAAAAAAGAAAGGCTGGAAAATTAATAATACTTGTGAATTACTTACATTTAAACGTTTCTAGGCATTCGACATCTCTTAAATTGCATACTCTGGTATCTGCAACAGAATATTATTTATCTTAAAGCTAACAGGTAGAAAAACGCGAAAGAATATTCCTAAATTTTGATTATTTTTTTTATAGATAATTTTTGTTTTATTTCAGATCTAGTAATTATCAAAAGAAACGCTGCACTATAGAATATTTTGCAAGTTTACGAGATAAAACAAGTTGTATTTACAGCAAGCTAACCATTTTGCGGATAATAATATGGAATGCATCCACATTTTTTCTTAATTACAGTTGTTCGACAGTTCGTTAGACAATTTATGAATGAATATCTTGCGGGGACGAAATTTCTGTTCCAATCGTTACCAATCATTTTATTTGCTTCGTCATAAAATATGCATTCTCTCATGGTGGATTTTAGCTTTCTGATATCAAGGGTCGAATAAGTTTCTACAGGTTGGACAGTCAAAAACGAATATTCATGCTCGCTTATCAATTTACTCGGTGCATTATGATCAGGATAATCGTAAGGGTCGTGTAGCATGATCTGTAAAAATATAGTAGATGTTACAAGAATCGAAGATTAGATTGGGCAAAAAAGAACTCAAAGATTGTAACAAAAGAGTATAATTTTTAACAGTCTTTTTTCACAATCAGAAATTAATACGAAATATTACCTTTATTTCCGTAGATTCCATAATATCGGCATCATTATTTTCGACATCCAGATTAAGCAATATATTGAGTCCACTCTGATATCCACACGATGTCATTTTATGTGGTTTTATACTTCAAATTTAAAAGAGAAATGTAAAAATTTAAAAGAGAAAGAGAATAAAATTTATAATTTAAACAATAATATACGAAACAATGTACTAATATAGATACTTAAATCTAGATATATATATATATATATACTTTGGATTTTCCATAATCGAATCGTAAGTAATATAATTAAAGCTGCAACATAATCCATCACGACTGATACTTGATCGAAATATGGTACTGCAGTTTTCAATCTTCGATTTCCACTTACACGATTCCAATAAACTTTGACAATTTCGCGTAACCTGAAATTCAATCTCATTTACATCCAACGTGCTTTCTTTGGTGGCACTTTATTTAACAATCTCGAATAGCTTTGATTCGATAGATACGAATCTATGAAAGATATTTGCTAGCAAGTTTGTTTTCTCTGTATTATGACGCTGTATGATGTTTCCTATAATTTTGTTACCTACCGAGTTCATGATCGTTGGTATCGAAAGCTTATTCATGTCAAAAATGTTCTGCAATCGTGAAAGATTATTTCGAACGCGTGATCCGTATATACCAGGATATAATAATTCGTTCAGTAATCTCATTTCTCGAGCTATAAATTCCTTCGACAGACTCGATGGAAATGTCCTGTAAAAACAATAGGAAAAAGCTATTGTACAATTTAAGTGGTTTGCTATATCTATACAGTATAAGCTAACACAAAATAGAAGATGATAAAAGAGCGGCAGTAATGAGTATAACGGAAGTTTACACGATAACGATTTTAATCAAATATCGACAACGAAATACAGGTGAAAATGCAAATGAAAGATCTACAAGTTACTGACTAAATCTTTACCATAAATATAATTGTGTGATATATCATCAATCGATCATCAAGAAACAAGGATTATCGTTAAATCACGATAAGAGATTCTATATAACGAGTAACAGGAAGTTTAATCGACGATTAAGAACGAAAGAGAAAAGAAAAATAAAATACTCACAAGTTGTCGGTGAATTTTTTTGTTAATTGAAGAGATACGGGATTCATATCGCATACCGTAACCGCTGGAAACGGATAATTCCATATTCCATGATGGGTCGTTTCGATGACCGAGAGAACTAAATGCTGCTCGTAATAATTCAGAGTAACTTTCAGCATTCCGATTGCAATGCACAGCGATGAGACCACCATTATTGCCCATGCGATTCTACCGAAATGAACGCGGAACGAATAGTATCGTGATTACATCGCGCTTCGATTTAATTGAAACAAAGGTGAAATTAAGTTCCATTAATGACATCTACTTATAATGTACCTATACACGGCTTAATCAGTAGGCTAAATGAATTTTGGAATTCGTATGTTAATGGTTTTTGAATCATATATTGATCGCTCTTTATTGCTTTTTGACACTCGAATAGCTTATCTGTAGTAGGTGTAGCAGGTACATGTATATACAGATGACTACAATTGAAGTGGCATAAAAGTAAATGAATTGTAAAATACGCATAAAATGTATATAACTATTTTTCGACTTTTTTTCGAAATTAACTTTGAACGATCGTAGAAATCAAAAGTTTGCTTGTTTCAGTGTTAATTACACTTTGTTTCTGTTCGTTCTCTTAACATTGATTTTAATTAGTTAATTCACTGAACCTATGTAGGTTGAATTTTATTTGACACTTAGTATTACTTAAATTGTATACATAGTTGCATGTAAAATATTTTTTTCTTCCTACATTTTACTGTTATTACTTTGCTTTAGAATATCGTTATATTACATCTATGTGATATTTAACGAATCGATAAAATAATGGTTTTACTCACCTTTCTATCGTAGATCGTTGAGATTCGCAAATATATTTGCAACCATGAAGTCCCGTTTCGTGGCAAAACTCCGAGACATGTGTTTTTATGGTGTAACAAAATTTTCGTACGACCTTTTTCAAGATATTGCCACAACTTTGCTTTCGTACGCGTCTCATGTTTCTAAATTAACAACGGGCTAACGTTTCCATCAATTTTAAGATTGCTAATATTGCACGAACTTGTTTTCTCAATCTAATTTATTTGTTTTAAATTATTAGTGTTTCCCACTGATGGTTGTCGAGAAGTTCGATTAAAAGTTGCGATCAAATAATCCGTAATTGCGAAAACTGTCGAAAGATACTCTGGTTAGAAGATCAATTACACGAATTGATTACATAAATTCAACCATTAATAATTATTCGCACGTGTAATAAATTTCTTGAGTTTCAGACGTCTTCTTCGGTTTCAATGACCATCAATGATTTTACCTACGTAGCGTTGAAGGCACGACTATCGAATGAAAGGTAGCTGTATGTCAGTTCCGATACTTTATTTACGAATACACGACGCGCTGCATGCGATGTCGTATAAAAAATTCATTTCATTTTTTCACTGATCATTCTCTGATAAATCCAGATGCGAGATACGGATTTCCTGGCCTCTGGTTACAAACGATTTTTAACTCCGTGCAATAGTAAATTATTGATCACATGCAACGCTAACTTAACCTAACTCGAACACGTGCGACATTTACGCAGGAGAGTTCATAGAAATAATCGCAGGTATAAAAGAATTTTTTAGTCTAAAACGAAGAAAAGTAGATCGATATTTTTGCAACAGTCTCAAAACAATTAGTTTGTTATTTTACATTTTAAGCGATTCTCTCTATACGTGCATAGATATTATTAAATTAAGTTCTTGGATATTAATTAATTACTAAATCGAGTAACAACACACGAATGTTATAGTAAAGTATTCTTTATTTATTTATTTATTCTTAATCCCTGCTTTGTGCCTTAGGATGGCTCCTGATTTACATTCTACTTGTTTACAATATATGCTTAACCATATTTATACTATAATCATAACTAACAATCTTTCTTATTATTACCTTTCTTATTAAAATATCAATCTACTGCTAAACACCTAGTGTCCTATTGTTATTCATATTATCGTCCCTAACTCTACTATGTACTACTCCATTACAGCTTAGTTTTTCGTACATCGTTGCAATTTATATTTAACTTCTATTGGTGTAAAATGTAAATTAAAAGAACGATGGTATATCTTTCAGACGAAACAACATCGATCCCGCGACTGTTAGAATTTGACGGATGTTCTCTGGCGAGGGCGATTTCCAGCTGATTTTATCTCTTTTGTCTCTCGCGGATCTCCGCCGCGAAATTTCTCTCGTAAGCCCGAACTGGTGGTCCGAGCGGCGAAAATTCCTGTTCTTTTTTATATTCCAACCACTTGTCCGATGTGCTCCTGCAAAATGAAAGCGTGTTATTTGCCGCGAATAGTGGCGACACTCGATTCTTCGGCCAGGGTGAAGGATATTGGAAACGAAATGCCCCAGCTTGTTCGTCGCGCGCCTCGTCGCATCGGCACGAGTGTACTACTCGAGGCCAGCAGCGGATGGAGAAGTCCGCGGCCGAGTAGTCGGCCGAGTGACTCGATTCTTCGGATATTAAACTCTGAAGATGCCGCACTTCGCCGCGGCATCTGACTCAGCGAGTGTCATTAATAACTTGGAGAAGATAGATAAAGTGCTAAACACCGTGAGCTGTGTGCTCGAGCACACGTCATTACCCTGACTACCGAACAACTCGATTAAAGGGTTCCTAAATGCACCGACCTTGTCGAGGTCGCTACTCACCGCCAGCTTTTCAAAGGCAACTTTTTCAGCTCTCCGTGGAGTCTTCTCCCGCTGATCGAATATCCTCGATAAAGGAGCGACGATTTTTTTCGATTAAATATAGTAATCGCGTGTAATTTTACATCACGCGGAAAGATTCATAGCTACGGATTATTCCTTCTCATTTTCTTCTATTCATTCAGACTTTTAATTCTTTTTTTGTTCAAATTTCTCTTAGAAATCAGACTGTTTTTTTTTTTCAAGTAGAATAACAGATTGTATTAATATTATTCTAGTAATAGATACAGAAAACACGAACAATTTGATTTATTTAAATTGTACAGGTTAGAAGGTGAAATTTTTGTTTGAAATATCTCTTTGTCAACGTAGAACGAAATTCTAACATTTTTTAGACACAGTTGTGTGAGATATTGTGCGTTGTACGCGTCATATACATTTATAATTTCAATTCAATTTTTCATTAAATTTATCTCTACGTTGTTCGTAATTACCAATAATTTCAACGAAATAAATTAATATCCTTTTGCCGAGAGTTAAGACATTAAGATACGATTGCTTTCAAGGATAAAAATTCCACGCTTCAACGAAGCAGTACAATTTGCAACCTGCTGATCTGCATAATATCTTTATCTCTGTAAAGAAATCGGAAATTTAGTAACCTGTACGTTTCAGTCCCGTGTTATGATATATGTATGCCCAGTATATCGATATAATCCAATATTAGGGTGATTTCGCGGCACCCTAGCTCGAATGGCGAAGAACTTTCGTCTCGCGGAGGGCAAATGTTTTAAATCGATGGGCAAAGACAGGAGGGAAGGAAGCTGGTATTTGGCACCATCCTCCGGGTCATTTCTTGCCGCTTAAACGCTTTGACGGCTGAAATGGGAAAACTTAGCAAAGAGCAATTTTAGAAGCAACGCGTTGCTTGTGTATCAACTCCTACGATTAAATAAACGAAAGTGTTAATTCCAAATGATACTTCAAAGGTATAATAAAAGTTGAGCATCAACGTGTTGAGCATTTAATACGTTGCATGTATCTATCCATAACACGCTGTTAGATCTAACTACGATATTATTGAAGTTAAATTTTTATCACTGGGAATATTAGGTACGTGTTTATGATCATATCAAATATTTTTCAATCCACGTACTGTAAAATAGCGAAGAAAAAAAGAGATATTTTCAAAACTTTGTCCGTTAAATATCAATTGAATTTTATTTGAAATGCGTATCTTATTTATTAATTATCAGATGGAGAAAGAATAGATCGAAAGGTGATCGATTTGTAGAATACCTGGCATAATATAATTGAACTTAATTATATGAATTTAATTAGTTAGAAGTCTCGTAACTCAATCACAATGAAAATAGATATAAGAGACAATTTGAGCATATAACGTAGGATTTTCTCATAGTATTTATAGCATTTGTATTTGTCAATGTTTTAAATGAACGATTAATGCGTTTTTAAAGGATAGAGAAATCGAACGAAGAAATTGAAATTTTCCTTTTAATATGGAAAGATTAATATATAGATACATATATCGACATTTAAGTAGCGGATTAATTAACGCGATATCGATATTACTATTATTAGCGATAATTAAGCAACAAATAACAGCAAATGAAACATAAGTTTAACGCGTGTTCGATGCGTTAGGGTGCCAAGATTTCTCGATGTGTACGTGTAGTATGGTAATTTTAATTATGAGATAGTTCACTGCGATGTCGGTTCCGCGCAGAGAAAATTACTGCACGTGGAAGGGGTGAATCCGGTGGATGGGGTAACAATGTATTATGTGTTCCCCTGTCAACCCCTCACGTTAACCACAAACCCCTTCTATTCACCCCCAACAATTCGTTAACTGCTATCGAATTGACTTTAACCGCCGTAAGTTGAAAGTGCAACCCCGTTACCTTTAACAAAAGTTTACAATCGCCTCGACCAGACGCGAGCAATCGTATTTCGTTCCTTTGATTGGTAAAAAAAAAAAAAATCTACACGATAAATAACAGGATAATATAACAATTTTTGGCTTAAATTAAAAACAGATTTTGTCATTTTTCAGAGGACAGGAAATAGTTAAACGAAGCTCTACGAAACATTTTCAAATGAAAAATCAAAATAATTAAAGATCGCAAAATCTTTCGAATGATTGAGAACCTTAAGGTGTTATTAGATAAATTATGAATGAAATTTCGACGTGATAAATACACGGAAGTAAGATAAAATTAAATTAAATTAGATTAAAGATTACTGTAATAATATAAGAGAATGGTATTAAAACAAACATTGGCTATGTATCGTTTTATTTAAGCTCACAAACGAATCATAGTTTCGTCATCTGAATTGAAGATATACAGGATCGTACAAGCGGAAAGGAGGTGATTCTAAGCGAAAAAAGAAGTCGAAAATATAGAATAAAAATTTCTTTTTCATTTGTTTCTTTTTTAATTTTTTTAAAAATCTACAGTGAGATGCGTTATAACGAGACGTGATAAAGTGCACGCGTACCGAGCGAAAATTCAAAGTCGATTTTCTCGAAAACAAAGCCTCGAACGAAAAATTTTTATTCTATATTTTCGACTTCTTTTTTCGCTTTTAAAAAAATTAAAAAAGAAACAAATGAAAAAGAAATTTTTATTCTATATTTTCGACTTCTTTTTTCGCGTAGAATCACCCCCTTTCCGCTTGTACCACCCGTTACCAACCACCCTGTATAAGAAGCGTAATTCATGAAACAGGAATACACCACTCAATATATTTTTATATCAATTAATTTAATCAATAAACAAGATACTATAAAGTAGCCTATCTCTAAAGTATTATAATCTCTTATGTATTAGCTTGTATTGGTACAGTTACACTTAAGAAGCGCACGCTATAATCTATAAATATTACTTTCACAGCAATAGAGCAAACTTATATTTGCAGTAATCGAACGAGTTTATATTCTCTGGCTTAAAATTGTTTAAGAGATATTATATCAGTCAGGTATCGTGAAACTTCCACCAAGTTAAGCGAAATCGAAGTGGTTCCTATCGTGGTATATGTTCGAAAGTAGCAATAAACTTACCCGCGTGGGAGGGTTTCAAGGATGAATTGTTTAAAACTACCCTGTCGCGTGTGAGCTCTCGTTGTCGAGAATGAAATGAAAAGAGGTTATAGATATGAAGAGTTCCGGGGGATTTGTAGCCATCTTCTATACGGCATCTGTATTATACAACCGATGGGAAGGGAGCAACGTATTTCGCGGAACATTGAGCCCCATGGACTTTAAAATACATCCGAAACCGAATCTGTCTCTCTTTCTGTGTACTCTGAAAATTTCTCCCCCCCTCCCCCCATCTATACACTCGCTGCGCTATCTGTTTTCTGATCGTATAATGTTACCCTTGCGTTGCAATTTTTATAACATTTTCTGTTTATGGAAAATAATTTAATATATCGTAAATTATGAAGAAACAATATTTTACAGGGAACTGAGATAATGTATAAATAATTAAACAAAGATAATCACGTTATTGTACGAAAATTTTTGATGAACAGCGAAATATAGTCGACAAAATTTTATAATACGATCGACATAAATGTTTAATCGACAAAAATGTTAGGTACATTTGGATAAGCTTCAAGGAGTAAAATTTTGGCTGTGAATCTCTCAGAAGCTAAACTGATCGATTCAATTTTTTATAAATTTCCTAATTTCGTTATGCATATATAATTTCGTTATGTTATTTCTGCAAGTTCATTTATAGCAAATTCGAAGGAAAATATTAAGGAATATTTGTAACGTATTACCATCTTAAGAATCGCACAATACTCTTTTAAACGTGCCTTACGAACTACGTTAGAAAAACATACTTCTCTGATTTTTTCTCGAAAAGAAAAAAAGGAGCAAGCAACGATACTGGCAGCATATTTTGGAAAATAATTTATGTTCGAATAATTAATCATTCTAAAATTGAAAATACCAAGAAAGCTTCGTCGCTGAACTATTTCAGAAGGAATATCGATAAAGTAAGGCTCGTCGAATCCGAACGCACTGATAACGTTAACGAAACTTAAAGAGGTATAAAAATACTTCCGAACATTTTTGATTTGATATGTCAATTAAGATAGCGAGTCTTATCTGTCGCTATGTGCCTTGTGCGCTCAGCGCACGAGAATGCGTAACAGAAGGGAAGCACATAGAGGGTAATACATAGAACACATACATAGGGGTTTGCACGCCGGGAGAACTTTATGGGGGCTTCGAGTATATTTCCTGATTGAGCGGACTAATCCACGCAAAGGAGGTTTTATCGTCGAGGTATACGTAATCGAAGGGGGTCTCGTCTCCATGCGAATGTCGCGTGGATAAGTAATGTCAGAATCAAGAAGTTCCATGAAAAAATTATTTAATTACGTGCATCGAACATTTTTTGATATTTATGTCACATAGAAAAATATACCTGTACCTTGCCATACATAAATCGTAGCTATGCATCTAACATCAAATACAGATTATTATTTTTCTTTCGATCAAACTCGATCGTAAAATATTTTGTTAAAGAATTATCCGCGACCAATTATCGTTCTAATGCCACGTATACGCCTGAAGAAA